AAAAATAAATAAAAACGTTAAAAAAAAAAATTAAAAAAAAAATATAAAGGTGATTTTCATTTTTATTTTGAGAGAGAGTTGAGTGGGGGAGGGGCAGAGAGAGAGGGCAAGAGGGAGAATCCCCAGCAGGCTTTGCACTGTCAGCTCCCACCCCGACTCAGGGCTCAAACTCATGAACCACGGGATCGTGACCTGAGTGGAAATCTGGAGTCAGATGCTTAACTGACTGAGCCACCCAGGCGCTCCCATAAAGCTGATTTTTAAAAATAAAATTTAATATGGTTGACCTTTAACAAATGGGGTTAATATAAATGTATTGTGCTATTACTATGATAGTATTTCTGCTTTTATTGTACTTTGTATATATCCTGCTTTTTCTTTACCTTTTTTTTCCTGCCTTTACTACATTTTTTTTTACCTCCACCCCCTTTGGTATTTTCCTCCTGAAAAATTCAAGTACCAAGCATTATTCTCAGCCAGGCTTTGTGTGTGGCAAATTCCATGCCTTTTCTTGTCTGAAAACATCTTCATTTTGTCATTTTTCTTTGTGATAATTTATCTGGGGATAGAGTTCTAAGATGACGTCAGGCTTCTCTCAGGACTTTGAGTATATTCTTTAATCTTTTGGCTTCTTTTATTGCTGATCAAGTCTGGGGTTGCTCTAATTGTTTCTTTTTTCTTCTTAAAGTTTATTTACTTATTTTGAGACACAGCAGGGGAGGGGCAGAGAGAGAGGGAGACACAGAATCCCGAGCAGGCTCCAGGCGCCGAGCTGTCAGTGTAGAGCCCGATGCGAGGCCCGAACCCACAAACCGTGAGATCATGACCTAAGCGGAAGTCGGACGCTTAACCGACTGAGCCCCCCAGGCGCCCCTCTGATTGTTTCTTTATAGGTGACTTTAAAAATTTCTCCATGGTAGCTTTCACTACTTTCTGACTCTCAAGTCTTGCGGTGGCACTAAACTGTGTCCAGGTACCGATCTGCTTTTGTTTACCACACTCAGGACTCTGGACATTCAGTGGTAGGATGCATGCCTTTCTTCCCTTCTAGAAAACTACCAGTCATCGTCTCTTCAGATATTGCCTAGATCAGGGGTCCCCAAGACCAGTACCATATTTAGTGATTTTCGAGAAGGATCCGTGGGACTCAGCATATAGTTGTATCTACAGCTCCGATCCATTACAGCGATGTAGTAAACATACACCCCTAGGTCATAAGGGGGGAAGACACTAGCAGAGTCTGGATGAATCCATGCACAGGATGCCTTATGCTCTCTCCCTCCCATCTAGGGTCACCCGGGGCACACTTGTCCCAGCGGAAAAAATGCAGCAACGTGTGCCCGGGGAGGCCCAGTAGAAACTCAGCACCCTCAGTTGCCCTGCCTTGCACATACCAGAATTTCAGGCACACAGAAGGAAGGGAAATGTTCAGCATAAATCACATTGTTTGTACAAGCAGCCTTATCAGTTAGGGAATGGTGGAGACATTGCTGAACTCCCAGTTTCCCAGACTGCAGGGCCGAACCTTGCAAGCCAGCCCTTCTAAGCCTAGCAGCCTCAGGGCTGCTCTGTTTTCCCTTTTCCTGGCGTATTGCCCCTGTCCCTGTCTTTTTAAAAAATTTTTTTAATGTATATTCAATTTGAGAGAGCGCATGTGGGGGTGGGGCAAAGAAAGAGGGAGACACAGGATCCAAAGCAGGCTCCAGGCTCCGAGCCGTCAGCACAGAGCCTGATGCGGGGCTCCAACTCATGAAACATGAGATCATGACCTGAGCCAAAGTCGGATGCTTAACCGACTGAGCCACCCGGGTGCCCTGCTCCTGTCCCTTTCTACTGTTTCCATTTGGATTTTCTATTAAACCTGTGTTGGAACTCACCATTTTTCTATTTGTCTTACCATATTTCCATTTTGTTAGCTCTTCACGCTGCAATCAGGGTGATTTCCTAAGATGTCATCTGATTCATTAAGTTGGTTTTTATCTGTGACTAGTCTGTTCAACTTCTCTATTTAGAGCTTTAATAATGCCTATATATTCTTTTATATTTATATTTGTTCCTTTTCTCAAATGTTCCTTTCCCCTCCCGATAGTATAGCTCTTACCTTATTTCTTTGAATATTTGAAATACATTTATTTTATTTTTTTTCAACGTTTATTTATTTTTGGGACAGAGAGAGACAGAGCATGAACGGGGGAGGGGCAGAGAGAGAGGGAGACACAGAATCGGAAACAGGCTCCAGGCTCTGAGCCATCAGCCCAGAGCCCGACGCGGGGCTCGAACTCACTGACCGCGAGATCGTGACCTGGCTGAAGTCGGACGCTTAACCGACTGCGCCACCCAGGCGCCCCTAAATACATTTATTTTAAAGTCTAGAGTGTTCTGTTAGCTACAGTTCTAGGAAATGGGATTATCTGTTGACACCGGGAGTATCAAGATGGTTCATTTCCTTGGGAGGTTTAAATTATTTTGCTGTGAATTCTTCAGTGAGAATTGGCTTTCCACAGAAGTTGTGTGAGTCCTAAGCTATAAAAACATAAGATATATCTTTTGGGGTTTGCCACATCTAGGAACCTAGTAATAGCAGGACCAGTTTTTCATGTTAATTTGTCAGCTTGTGGACTCTGTACTCATCGTTTTGGATTGAGTCGCACAACTAGGCTTTGCTTTCTTATATATAACATCTTTCTTTCCAATTTCCTCGTCCAGTGGGGAGTTTTCCTGGCTCCTCTTTGACAAACATGGAAGGCCCTTGGCGATTCTAGCTGTAAGCGGGAATTACCTATACCAGTTTCCTCAAGATTTTTGCCCTGTGGTCTGGATTACCACTGCAAATCCCGAAGCTTCCGTTTCTGGTCACCCCGTCACTTTAAATTTCCACTTCACTTTTGACACCCAGTTTCTTGGTTTTGAGCCTGACTGTGGATTCAATTATTTTTGTTCAACACGGGCCAGCATAGTTCTTCATGTTCACAATGAGAGGGGAGGCGGTGCTCGTGGGGCATGGACACAGCCCATCCACCTCAGCTCCAGATTTACCCCATTACAAGTCCAATGAGTTCCTTGCCTTTTTTTCCCAGAATTCTGGCAAGTGCATGACCAGATGGACAACCACAAGGAAAGCCAAGACCAACGTCTGTGGCCGACTGCGTTCGTAGACCAGGAAACACAGAAGGACCAGAGTGGCCAGGAATTGACAACATTCAGGACAATCATTTATCCGGGCACAGACTTTGTTTCTATAAGACAAAGACTCCCTAGATATTATTCATGGGGAAGGTGTTCAAAACATAATTTAAACTTTCTCTGTCAAAGCAGAAGTTCTGTAAGAAAGAAAGGTGATGAGCATAAGGCACATCGGAAGTCGTGCTTCCACCCTAATCTTTATCCAGCGCAGCCTGGAGAGAGATTCTTTGAGCCTAATCAACGTGGAAAAACCCTCCACCATAAGCAAGCCCTCGATAAACCTCCAAGAAGTCAAACCAGGGAGAAACTCTTTGAGTGTTCTGCATGCGGGAAAGTGTTTATCCAGAAAGCCAACCTTGTCGTGCACCAGAGAACTCACACGGGAGAGAAGCCCTATGAGTGCAGCGAATGTACAAGAGCCTTCAGCCAGAAGTCAACCCTCATTGCACACCAGAGAACTCACACAGGGGAGAAGCCCTATGAGTGCAGCGAATGTGGGAAAACCTTTATCCAGAAGTCAACGCTGATGAAACATACTCGAACTCATACAGCAGAGAAACCATTTGTATGTGGTGAATGTGCAAAAGCCTTTAAGAGTTCCTATCACCTTACTAGACATGAAAAAACACACATTAGACAAGCATTTTATGAAGGAGTCCACTGTGGTAAATCCGGCCTTACATACCTGAGGACTCATACGGGTGAGAAACCTAACTGTAATAAACATGGGAAACCCTCTGATGAGAAACCCAACCCCATTAAACACCAGAGATCTCCTATGAAAGAGAAAGCTTACGAGTGCAGTAAATGTGGAAAAAGCTTCAGGGGGAAGTCCCACCTCTCTGTCCATCAGAGAACTCACACAGGAGAGAAGCCTTACGAATGCGGCATATGTGGGAAGACTTTCAGTGGAAAATCACACCTCTCTGTCCATCAAAGAACTCATACAGGAGAGAAGCCTTATGAGTGCAGAAGATGCGGGAAAGCCTTTGGTGAAAAGTCAACCCTTGTTGTACATCACAGAACTCATACAGGAGAGAAACCCTACAAATGTGGTGAATGTGGGAAAGCCTTCAGCGAAAAGTCACCACTGATAAAACATGAGAGAATTCATACAGGAGAGAGACCCTACGAATGCAGCAACTGTGGGAAAGCATTCAGTAGGAAGTCAACTCTCATTAAACATCAGAGAATTCACACAGGAGAAAAACCCTACGAATGTAGTGAATGTGGGAAAGCTTTCAGTGTGAAATCAACTCTCATTGTACATCACAGAACTCACACGGGAGAAAAACCCTATGAATGCAGAGACTGTGGAAAAGCCTTCAGTGGGAAGTCAACTCTGATTAAACATCAGAGAAGTCACACAGGAGATAAAACCTATTAATATACTTGAGCATGGGAGAATTTCCCTATTATACCTCATTATAGATCAGTTCATCCTGGGGAGTAATCTTAGCAATGTCAAGAGTGTCAGAAACTCTTCAGATATTAATGTTCCTTTAATGTAATAAAAGGTTCAAAAATATAATTCCAGAAGCATGTAATAAATGCGACCAGTTTTTCACCCAGAAGGTCTTACGAGTGAATTGTATATCAGGGAATTCAACGGTGGCAGAATTATGAGTGTATTGACGTGAGACAACCTTGAGAAAGAATGTAAATGTTATCGCCTAACAGAGTCTTTATGCTGAGGAAAAACTAAGAGTCGAATGAGTTTAGAAAACTATGTCAGCAATTATGAGAGAAATGTGTTCCATATTCTGTAACATTCTGTGGGAAAGGTGCAGAGGCTGCTAACAAGGAGTCAAATAGAAAAAAGTGAGGTTCACCATGGAATAGAACACACTTTTGAAAGAACAGTATAGAGGATAAACTGTTAATCCCAGCTGGGGCAAACTCCCCGTTATTATTATTATTTTTTTATTTTTAATGTTGATTTTTTGAGAGACAGCACGAGTGAGTGGGGGAGGGGTAGAGGGAAGGAGACACAGAATCGGAAGCCGGCTCCAGGCTCCGAGCTGTCAG